ACGGCAGAGCAGCTTCCAGAGGCATTTCAACATGTGTTCACACGCTGCAGTCAGGGAACAACTCATGGTGAGAATCTGCAGAACCAAAGTTTCTTCTTCCCACATCTCACTCACTTGAAATGCCGGTTCCACTGACACTCACCTATACACTTCATGTTTTAAGTGTGGACCATACACCAAGCATGTTCATCAAGTGCAAACAGGTAAAAATCTACCTCCAGGCACTAGTAGAAGCTAAAACAGAATCAGTTCATTTTTGTTGGTCTTGTTTTTGTTTTGGTGTTTCTTACAGTACTGGAGATCAAACCCAGGTTGTGTGCATGCTAGGCGAGCATTCTATCACTGAGCTACACCCCCATCACGAACCTGCTATGTAACCTGGGCTGGCCTTGCACTCAGTCCTCTGCTTTGGCTTCCTGAGGGCTGGAGTCGTAGTTGTGCACTACCACACCTGGCCACAATGCATTTTTGGTCCATGTAGGAAGCCACAGGGTAGACAGACACAAGGATGCCGGGGAACAAACAAGCAGGCGGGGACAGCCACAGGAAAGACTTGATCAGTAGTAACCTCCCAGAAGTCAAAGCCAGAAGACTCTTCAGTCCAACTGTCCTGTTCCTGACCTCCCAGGCAACTGGAAAACTCTCCTCTTATGGAGTCCCAGGGCACTCCCCTATCCGTTCCAAGTGGTCAGTATACAATGCACAGCTGGCCCTAAACATGCCAGTCTCTTAGGTCTTCACCTCAGAGCTCATCCTTTGTCTTGGCTTCACATCTGTGCCTCCAGCTGCCCAATGGTACAAATACCTCAGATTTATCGTTTCCAAAAGCACACACCATCGTCCTGTCCTCCCCCATTTTCCCTATTTTGATGGGTGTCACCAGCCAGTGAGTCACCAAAAGACAAGGAAACTACTGTAAAGGCATTCCTCATCAAACAGCAGCAAGTGCCTATCATGTACCAAGCCTCGACACGGAAGATACAGGATGGAATCTTGCCTTTAAGAGCATGAGTGGACAGGAAATGCACATTAAGAAAAGGCTAAGTCAGGGCTGGAGAGGTAGCTCAGCGGTTAAGAGCACTGGCTGCTCTTGCAGAGGACCCACGTTCAGTTCCCAGCACCCACATGGCAGCTTAAAACATCTGCAACTCCAGTTCCAGGGGATCTGACAGCCTCTTCTGGCCTCTGCAGCAGGACTGCACGTGGTGCACATACATGCAAACACTCATACAAAGTAAAAATAAATCTTTTAAAAAATGATAAAGCAAAATAACACAGCACTTTCGGTAGGGAGGTGCTAACAAGAAAGGGCAGAACTGCGGCTTTTGCTCAGCAGGCACAGGATTGTGCTTTAGTGGAACCAAGGCAGCTGGAGATGGGGCAGGGCAGGGAGGACACCGCGGAGACCTTTAGTAGGCTGACTGACATGGCCCACCTAGTCTGCACAGGCTCATTGACACAATGCTCTAGTCCTCCCACAGGCTCATCCTCTGCCTGCTGCCCCTCCCCTGCCCCAAGCCAGGTCTACTGGACCCCAGGGTCCCCATGCAGCTGCTCTCCTGCACCTCCAGACACTGTCCTAACTCAAATGCTCACAAGACATCACCTAGGGTGGATCTTCCCAACTAGCTCACCTGCCACCCACACCACTGCCCTTTCTCTAAATGTCACCAGGCTCCTCTGACCTTCCTTCAAACCTCAGTACTGGAGCAGCCTCCCATCGCCTGAGCCTTTCTTAGCCTCACCTTTCCCTCAACCCCACCCCACTAGGACACCTTAGACTACAATCCACTGTCAGGCCTTATTCCTCCCATCCAGACCACAGCTTCCAGGCCACCCTCGATCCCTGGTCAATCTGCACTGCCTTGAGTATTTACAAAAGCCTCAACACTCCTTGTGTTAGACCTAGCCTCTTCTGCAGAGGATCCATACCAGGATCCCCTGCAGCCTAGTACCATGCAGTGGGTTCTCAGAAGTCCCTCAGGGCTGCACATCCACATCTTAATCTGACATTTTCATTCTTTTTGTTTTGAGGCAGGGTCTTGCTACACAGCCCAGGCTGGCCTCAAAAATCCTCTTGCCTCATCCTCCTAGTGCCTGGGCCAACATGCCCAGTTTTTACCATTTTAACCCTAATGCCCTGAAACGCCAAAAACTTCCTCGGTCCTCTTGTTCAGGATCTTAATCCTTTGTTGCATAAAACCCTCGTCTCTGATATTCTACTCATCTAAACTAACCCTAGTCTGGACTTCTATTTCTAGTTTTCTTTAGTTAATCATGTTTGAAGACTGTTTGAACTTTCACATTGACTTTTTCCCAACCTGAGAAAACATGCTTAAGAAAGTATTTTTTTTTGAGATTTTTTTTTTTTTTCTTTGTGACAGGGTCTCCCTGTAGTCCCTGTTGGCCTGGAATTCCTATGTAGACTAGGCTGGCCTCGATCTCAGAGATCTGTCTGCCCCTGCCTCTACCTCCCGAGTACTGGGATTAAAGATGTATACCACTCTGCCCAGTGACATTTAATTTATTCTTTGTGTGTGTGCGTGCCTGTGCGAGTTTATGTGCACCACGTGCATGCAGGTGCCCAAAACCCAGAAGAAGGTAGCAGATCCCCTGCAATTGGAGCTAGGGGTTATGAGCCATCTGATGTAGTAGCCTGGAAACGAATTTGGGTCCTCTAAAAGAACAGTAAGCACTCTTAACTGCTAAGCCATCTCTTCAGCCCTGAGAACGTACAAACTTTTTATTTTATTTTATTTATTATTTTTATTTTACATGTATGCATGTATTGCCTGCATGTAGGTCCACCCGTGTCATGCAATGCCCTCAGAGGTCAGAAGAGGCTGTTGGATCCCTTGGGAATGGAGTTACAGACAGTTGTTAGCTGCCATGTGGGTGTTGAAATTCAAATCCAGGTCTTCTGCAAGAACAACCAGTGTTCTTAACCGCTGAGCCATCTCTCCAGCCCCCTGTATAAACTTTTTTAATGTAAACATTTAAACGATTGTGGACAGAACTATGGGAGTCTGTTTTATTTTTGTTGCTTCTTGTGCAGACTAGGATAGCACCCTACAATTCAGTCTGGAAGATTCTACTATGAATACAAGATACTGTGCACCTCACTCCTCCCACTTTGCTTGGGAAAAATTCCTGTCCTATCCAAAGTCCCATGTGTATCTATACGGTCTCCTGCGGTCTTTGTTGTTTTGGGGTAGAATCATGCTATGTGTGGGCTGGCCCTGCACTCATGATCCTCCTGCCTCAGCTTCCTGGGATTATAGGTGTGTCCTATCACTTCCCACCACATTTTTATGATATACTGCCAAGCCAGGTGGATGAGCTAGTGCTACAAAGAGGGTGCCAACAGGTGCCCCTCCCCTTTTGGCTCCACCACAGTCCACCATCAGGCTAGACTGCAACACGATGTTGCACTCTTTGATGACCTGGAGAGTACCTGCCTTCCCACATAGCCACACTCTGAAATTTTACCCTGTATGCTTACAAATACTGAGCGAACAGAACAGTGAGTCAAATTCCTACCATAATGCAGGCTCATGGTCATTGAGAGAAGTAGATTTCCAACTGTAATATGATTAGAAGAGAAGAGGAGGTTGTCCAGTTTCCTAATGGGCTTTTCACTGTCCTATTACAATATATTCCAGGCTAATTCTGATCTAAGGCTTAGTCATGCTGTATAAAAAGCCTTGGAATCTAACCACTGCAAAGAATCAAAACTACAGCTGTTTAAACGGCACATACCTCGTGTTTTGTTCTCGTTTTTTTTTTTTTTTTTTTTTTTTTTTTTTTTTTTTTTTTGGTCTTTTTGAGACAGGGTCTCCCTGTACCCCCAGCTGTCCAGGAACTTACTATGTTGACCAGGCTGGCCTTGAACTCACAGAGAGCTGCCTGAAGGCCTGCGCCACCACGCCCGGCCTGTTCTTGCTCTTTTTTGCAAGTACATCTGATCCCCACTTAAATTCCTGACCTATTTAAACTTAAAGCCATCCACTTCACACATTAACTTCACCTTTTAACACTTTGTTTTAAAAACGAAGAGGGCCCCACAATGTGACACGGAAAAGCACTCCAGGACCAGGAACGTCCATTAATGGACACGGTCGCCAGGGAGAGTCCACACCCAGCTACAGGAAGAAAGGGACCAGATGCGGACCACTGCATGACAGCGCGTGGCCCAAGGGCGGTGCCCGGGAGAAGTGGGGGCCGGAAGGAAGGCGAGGCTTCGGACAAAGCCAGCTGGCCACCTCCCACCGCCTCCAGGGGACCGGGAAGCAGCCGGGCTCTAGGACCACCAGCCGGCAGCTGTCACCAGAACCGTCGCCCCCGCCCGCTGGGGCCCAGGACCCAGACAGGAATAGTCTGGAGGGGCACAAGAGCGGAGGGGAGCCGGACCCCAGAGAGAAGAGGCGCAGACGGGGGAGGAGACAGGGGCCAGGGCGTGGAGGGAGCAGGAGGGGACAGGGACCCCGAGAACGGAGGGTACAGATGGGGAAGGAACCCCAAGTGTGGAGGGCGCAGATGAGAAAGGGACCCCGAGTGTGGAGGGCGCAGGAGGAGAAGGGACAGGGGCCCGAGAGTGGAAGGCGCAGATTGGAAAGGTACCAGGGCTGGGAGAGTGCAGGAGGGGATAGGGACCAGAGCGTGGAGGGGACGGGAGAGGACAAGGGCCCGAGCGTGGAGGGGCGCAGACGGGGGAGGGACAGGGACCAGGGCAGGAAGAGCGCAGGAGAGGGCAAGGGCCCGAGCGTGGAGGGCGCAGACAATAAAGGGGTCCGAACGAGGAGGGCGCAGGTGACAAGGACCCGAGCGTGGAGATGCGGGTGGGGAGGGCGGCCGGGGCGGGGTCTGAGCCCGGCTGCAGGCTCCGGAGGGTGGGGCGGGGACCCAGCACCTGAGCGCACAGGGACCGGGCTGGGGAAGGAGCTGCGGCTGGAAGGGAACGACGGGGGAGGCCGCGCACCGAGGGGCGGTCGCGCACTCACCGTCCGGTCGGCGCCGCGCTCGCTCGCGCTGTCACGGGCCGGACCCGCGCAGAGCCAGGCCACCTGGACCTCGCGCCGCACTCAGCAGCAAGCGTGGCCCCCGCGGCGTCCGCACAGCATCCTCTCCCGGGACCCGCTCCGCAGCCTCGCGCCACCCGCTCTGCGGCCGAAAATGGCGTCGCCGGCGCTGCGCCCGCCCCACAATCCCGCGCGCCGTGACGTCACCCGCCCTCGCGCGGCCGGTGGGGGGGAGCGGCGGGGGGACGCGAATGGCGGGGGGACGGAGGGGCTGCGGGGCGGCGGGGGGGGCTGAGGCGGGGACTAAGGGCCGGCCCTGCCGGGGGAGGCTGACCTGCTGGGACGGGGCGTGCAGCTTCCCGGCTCCCCGCACATCCGGGAGCCCGGCGGACCCTGGACCCCATGCACCGGACCCCGTGCCCCGCGCACCACGCACCGTACACCGCACCGCGCACCTCGGCGGAAGGCGAGGACGGGATGCCCAGGGCCAGGCGCGCCCGCCCTGCTCCGCGGGGCTCCTGCCCGCAGCACGACCTCCAGCCGGTCGGAAGGGCAGGCCCGCCTGCTCAGGAAGCTCCGGGGCCTCGCACCGCCTGCCGCACGTCTCCCCCGCTGCAGGCCTGACTCAGCAGCTAGCTGGAGGGCACGCTGAGTCAGTGACCAGGCTCGGCTTGCCTGCCGCCGGCTTGGGAACTCTCCAAGAGCCCGCAGATGTCCCCGGAGCCGGCCCCCGCGCTTCACTGAGGGGTAGGGGCTGCGGGGTCCTAGCCTCCCCAGCTTGGGAACTGCTGCCCCCTTCCGATGGTATCACCTAGCAACCCAGCACCTGCAGCCTTCGGCCAACCTGCAGTTACACCTGCCAGTTACACCAGGGAGGCAGGAGCCCTTGGTCTTAACAGACAGGTCCACTGACTTTGACCTCCTAGAAGTGCAAAGGTGGGGTACTAAGGGGGCAGCTCCTATGGAAGCCCGGCAGCAGGAGGAGAGGAGGTTTTAGGGTCGAGTAAACCCTGTCCACAGCTACCGTCAGCGACTCTCCCCAAACTGCTCGCTTGCGTGTTTGGGGTCGCCAGTTCTTCAGCCATTCCATAGGTCTAGGCAAACCATGCAGGGCTCCCGGCCGGGTGCTCTAGGGAAGAAAAGAGCAGACTGAGCGGGAGCCCATTCCTGTGCTTCGCAGTTCAGTTTCTGCCCTCTCTCCCTGCCACCCCAGCAATAACCCTGCATGACTGAAGGCGAAGGGCCAAGACTGCCTCCGTGTTTGCCTCCTCTATCCCTGCCCGTCACTCTAGTCCCGCTTCATCATAGAGTTCTTTTGTCCCTTCAATGTCTGCTGAGCTCCCGGGGTCCTCGCGGGAAGAACCGGTGCGTACAGTGGCAATGAGACCTGCAGACCAGCTCCATTTCTAGTGAGGAGAGAGACAGGCCTCAAACAGACACAGAAAGAATCTGACCTTGCTGGAAAAGTAATATGCCAGCTGGGCATGGTGGTGCAGGCAAGACCAGCCTGGTCTACAGAGTGAGTTCCAGGCTATCTAGGGTTGTTACAAAGAGACATGGGAGGAGGGTGTGGTGGTGCATGCTTGGAGGCAGAGGCAGGCAGATCTCTGTGAGATGGAGGCCAGGCTGGTGTACATAGCAAGTTCCAGGTCAGCTGGGGCTACAGGGAGACCCTGTCTCAAAAAAAGACTTAAATAAACAAACAAAGGGAGATCCCGTCTCAAAAAAAAAAAAAAAAGATGCAACAGGTGAACTGTGGGTACAAGACTCAGACTCCAAGGTCAGCAAGTGCGCTGACATCCAAAAGGTAGGAAGGAATGGCCCCATAAAACCAGTGTAGTCCTGGGGCAGGAGCATTTCTGTAGTGTTGGAGAAAAATAAAAGAGCAAGTTATTCACCAACCCCACCACACATCACTCTTAGCAAGTTCAAACTGGCTTAGTCTATAACGTCCACAGGACCTGGAGGTGCTGACCTAGTCTCCTGTCTCTGAATGTCCCACCTGTCCCTGAGTTTGCCTCTCTCTCCAATGCTGCCATACTCCCTTCAGTGTCCACCTGCCTAGACTGTTGCATGACTGCCTGTGTAGACAGAAAGAAACTTCTGTTCAGAGGTTGGAGAGGTGGCTCAGCAGTTAAGAGCTCTTGTTGCTTTCAGAGGACTGGAATTCAGTTTCCAGTACTCAGATCAGGCAGCTCACAATCATCTGTAACTCCAGCTCCAGGTGATGCCATGCCTTCTTCCAGCTTCTGTGGACACCTGCACACATGGGCACATAAACATGCACACAGACACACACATAAATAAATCTTTGAGATCAAAAATTGCATCCTAGTCCAGCTTGGTGAACCAGTGATTTTTTTATTTTATTTTATGTGTATGCATGTATTGCCTGCGTGTAGGTAAGTGCACCCGTGTCATGCAATGCCCACGGAGGACAGAAGAGGCTGTCAGAGCCTCTGGGACTGGAGTTACAGACAGTTGTTAACTCCCATGTGGGTGCTGGGATTTGAACCTGGATCTTCTGCAAGAACAACCAGTATTCTTAACTGCTGAGCCATCTCTCCAGAACCCATGAACCAATGATCTTATGAGGGTTGTTTACACAGCAAGGGTAACTCACAAACAGCTGTGCGGCCCAAAAGCCCGCCCAACATGGATTATGACTCAGGGAAGACTGCTCACTGGAGGCCTATACTCTTTTAACCTTCTACCTCCTATGTGCAGCTTACTGCTCTCAAGACCACTGACAGCTGGGAGGCAGAAAGGAGCAGTGGCTGGGATCTCAGGCGAGGGTCTGGTCCTTCTACTGGGAGTCTCAACAGCTCCTTCCCATAGCCGGCGCCAGCACTGTATCCCTTTGCTCATGACTGCAGGGCTGGCCCGAGGTAGTCTGTAGGTCACCACAACAATCTGTGCTCCACCCTGGCCATGGTTGTATCAGAGTCATTTTCTCCAAGGAGCCCTCCATGACCCCTGCCAGCCTGGCCAAGGGCTTCTCCAAGCTTCCACCTGTCCCTTCTCCTAATGTGCATTGTGGTCAGTTTGCACAGCTGCTTGTCCACTTGACCAGCATTAGAACAGGAGGGGCCTGCGTTCTGGTCCTCACTGTCCTGCCTAGCACCTACCGCAGAACAACAGGGTATGCATCTGAGGCGAGTATAAGACAGGAAACTCAGGCAGGCTGACCCTTCCCCAGGTTTCCTTTGCCTCAGTCCCTCTAGTGGAATGACACTTTAGGCCTTTTGAGTCCCTTGCTTCTGCCATAACTCTCAGGAATTCCTGCCATCCTTAGAGCACTGATAGCTGAGGTTGCACCCCTGGGGATGCTCCGCCCTGTTGTCCTGACTGCCTGGTGTCTGGGCTGGAGCACAGGAATCTCAGCCAAGGTCCTGTGAGCTCTGGGGTTTACCTACTATCTCCTGGAGAGGAACTGTCACTTAGCTTTAGGAATCACAACACAGCCCTTCTGTGCTTCCAGTGTGGGGGCTAGCAGAGCCAAGGAGTTGTATCTCATGGGAGTGCTGACTGCAGCAGGCTGCTCCAGGGCAACAGACCCATTATTTGCTCATCCCTGTGAGCCTAGAAGAACAGGGCCCAGGGAACAAACATGGGGTTACCAGGGTGAAACCTTAACACCTGTTTATGAGGATCCTGGTGGCTTTTGGGTATCCCTGAGGCCGGGTGGAGGGCTGAGGGACTATGCCATAGGGGCACAGTGAGAGACCCTGGCGAGCCCTGCTCCTTACATGGCCAGGACTAGAGGTTGCCCCAGCAGGTGGAGGGCAGCAGGCCAGCTCCTTGCTCCCTTGAAGATGTTCTTTAGACTGAAGGCAGCCAGTATGGTGGTATATAGCCTCTCTGCCTGTCTGCCTCTCCACCCTCTTCCCTTCCCAAAAATGCCTTCCTTTGCTCTCATTGTTTCTATCTCCTTCCAGCTCTGGCTGTTCACTGCCCTGCCCAAACCTGGAGAGATCAGTAAGCTGCTTGGAAATGTAAAGCAAAGCTGGGGCTCAGTCTGCAGATTTGTTGTTGTTTGGTTTGTTTTTGAGAGGGTCCAGCACAGGCTGGCTTCAAATATTCCATATAGCCAGGGTGGCCTTGAATTTCTGATCCTCTTGCCTCCACCTCCTAAGTGCTAGGGTTATAGGCATGGAACATCTATCTTGGTGGGGGAGGGGGGTGTTCTTGTTTCTGGTTTTGGTTTTCTGGTTGTTTTGTATTGTTTCTTTTGTTACTGTTTTGTTGGTTTTTGAAACAAAGTCTCGTTGGGGCTGAAGATTTGGAGGCAACCTATTATAGGGCCAAGGTGAAGCTGAGATCTCTGGTTAAAGAGTGAAGATGCACCTGTGTCCATTTATCACCTCCAGTGATTCGCCGACTGCCTGGGGGTAACAGAGATAAGCCGGGAGCACATAGGTCCCAATTTGTATTGAGAACTATTAGCCTGACTTGAGGTTGGGCAACCAGAAACAGAGCATCTGGACTGGTGAGCTGACAGCTTGCAGAAGCTGTGACTAGAGGCCCGAGTTCATTGGGCAGGCAGGAAGGACCCAACAAATAGAAGGCTACACCCTAAACCCAACAAACTCTCTTATTTGTGCCAAGTAGAAAATAGAACTGGTTACTGATTTTTAAAAATCATTGATCTTGGGGCTGGAGAGATGGCTCAGTGGTTAAGAACACTGGCTGCTCTTGCAGAGGACCTGGATTTGATTCCCAGCACCCACATGGTGGCTAACAACCAACCATTCATAACTCCAGTTCCAGGGGAATCCAACGCCCTCTTCTGACCTCCATGGGTGTTGCACAACATGGGTGCACTTACCTACATGCAGGCAATACACTCATACAAAATAAAAATAATAAAATTTTTAAATCAGTCTTTTTTTTTATGTGTATGTGTGTATTGCCTGCATGTAGGTAAGTGCACCCATGTTGTGCAATGCCCGCAGAGGACAGAAGAGGCTGTCGCATCCCCTGGGACTGGAGTTACGGACAGACAGTTGTTAGCTGCCATGTGGGTGCTGGGATTCAAACCCGGGTCTTCTGCAAGAATAGCCAGTGTTCTTAACTGCTGAACCATCTCTCCAGCCCCAAATCATTATTTTTTTTAATGTAAATGTGGATGTCTGTCTTAAGAAGAGACAGGAGACTGAGATTGGTCTCTGATGGG